GCAAAATATGCTCATGATTAACAAATAGAACTCCCAATACTGTATGTGATTGTCCAATTTTGTTAATCACTTAAAGTATCAGATTACAGACTGAATTGGGCTCTGCTCAGTCCTATCACCATAATTATAATAATCAATCATATAAATACTTGTAAAGGTCTTGATTTTGATCAGTTTCTTTACATGTGCACTTTATTTTGTCTCCTCCAGCTAGTGCATAAGATACAATTACATGTATTTATTGGTCCGTACAACGTCAGACAGACAAAATTCAAGGACTTTCAACAGACAAAAAATAATTTTCAAGGACTAAGCTTTATTCGTGATCAATAAATTGACATTCTTTGTCCCATTTTCCCCCTGCCAAGGTTAAATTAGTATCTATAATGATCAACATTTGTAAAATGACCACAGTTACTGGCTATTACATTTGTACTTTAATGTCTGAGGTACAGGGATGACTCACACTGATTTGAAATGTAGCTCTAAACAGAAATGTTCCATCATTACAACCCAATTTTCCTTAGCATAATCATTTGATTTCTCAGAAAAGTGATATGGTATAAGAAATTTAATAAGTAAACTTCGAGGACTTTTCAAGACCTAATTAAGAAATCACATACTTTCAAAGGACCTTAACCAAAGTTAAGGTCCTATGAAAGTATGTGGTTTCTTCATTAGGTCTTGAAAAGTCCTTGGAGTTTACTAATTAAATTTCTTATGTCAAGGACTTTTCAAGATGACTACTATAAACAAAAGACATTTTTCAAGTATGAAACATTCCAGCATTTCCCTTCAAATAACTGGCTATTCAATTTTACATGACTTCCAGTTTCTATAAAACAATTCCTTTTTTTCTGGGACTGGGTGATTAGCCAAGTGCCCGATCCCCAATCAGGATAGCCTGCAAGAAGCAGGCTCTCATATCTGGGCCAGAGTCCTGAGCAGTGAGGCAGCCAGCTGAGACATGCAAACAAAAGTCGGTCATTGGACAATTGTCCAGTAAATTTGAGGTTTTGACAGGTAAAAACTTAGCCTGGTCGGACACTCTGACTGGGCATTTCTGCTAAATGAAAAATATTTTAACTGGAAATTTGTGGCCAAATATGGCACAAATATTATTATATTATACTACCACACAATACTATGCTTTTCATTTTTATTCCATTTCTGAGAAATAATTTTATCGCGCGTAATGCGTCGTCTCAAATGTGATGTCTAAACTACTGTAAACAAACTGCATCAGTGCTACTATTTAGGCAATGTGTTAATTTACGCATTTTGCGTTGGTGTCGCGAAAGATCGCAAAGAATATAGATTCGCTGTGAGGTGAGGAATTGCACTTTTAATTTTTCATACAAATGTCTCTAAATTTTCCCGCAAATGTTGACTCAACGGTTTTACAGGCATTAGAAAATGAAACCCTTAAATGTGGCTTATCTAACAACGCTATTTCCCTCAAACACGATAAATACATTCTTTTGCCTAGTATCTTTAGTTTTAAACTAATAGATACTTCAGAACTCAAATTTTCCGTGAGTTATCAGGCATTAGATACACCTTTTGCCCCATACATTTACCGTAATTTTTGCTGTATTTGCCCCCTAAATAAGATGGCATCAGAAACTGTAGAAGGGTCTAATCTCCCGGCCAGAATGGTTGATTGAAGTGAATTCTTCATGCAAGCTTAACAGAATTCTGGTCGTTAGTATAAAAAGGATGATTACAGTAAGAGAATAACTAAGATTAAAAGATTCAATTTCTGGTAAGAATCGTTGTCAAACATAAGGTAATCAGGTGCGTCAGCTCACATGCATGAACAACAATAATTAAAATAATGACAATGATAAAATAAGAATTATAAAATAAAAATTTAAAAAACAGTACACTACATATATATATATATATATATATATATTCATCATAACATTCAAAGGCAATGAAACTTTATGATCAACACTTCCTTTACGAAGAGAGATCGCAGTTTACTAAACTTACATCTACGACTTAAATTTTTCAATAGCGTCCTCTGAGTTTTGAGCAAACACCCACGTACGTTTGACTTGACAGACTTTAACATACATGAACAAACTTGATCAAGTGCATCGCTGCGATAAAAGAAATAATCCACTCATTCTAAAATAAACATAGAGAGAAATGAGGAAATCGTCTACATCTTGACGCTTTGATCATATACCTCGCGGCTGGAAACTTCCTTTCAAATCTTTGAAATCAGGCACGATGTAAACTTTTCAGGAATTCGATGATTTTAAATTCACAAAGACACAAAGCCTGATTTTAAGAGATTTAGAGAAAAATAAAAACGAACAAATCTTCACTGGACCGCATCTGACAATCGATTGCACATCGCATTAAGAGATTTGAATACCGATCAGCCAACACGAAAGTAAAATATCAGAAAATATCAGAAAATATCAACCCCCATGTCGAACCTCTTCACAACCGAAAATTATCATACTTTACCTTTGTCTCCAAAGACTTCGTACAAAGCAGTGATTAACCATAGGAAAAGCTTCAGTTCGTAAACCTTCATAATGAAGAAACGACGCAGGAAAAGCCCGTCTTTCCCAACATATAAGTATTGTTGTGTTATGGACTTCCGATCCCTCGCTCTTTCAGACGTCAAAGATTGGCAAGTGCGCAAGAACGGAAGACCAGCGGTCTGATACTCAAAGGAGGGTTCGACCTTTGCGACCGCGCCCAGTTGTGACAAAGTGGAGCTGGTTCAGTCACGTATGCAATGGGGGCATAAAAAATGCACCAAGTATTGGGGTTTTTCGCCGGCTAGTTTTATTGGAGGCTTCAATATACGACTATTAAACGAGCATAAGTACACAGATGAAAGGGACCGGTCCAAAAATGGCCCAGTTTGATCAGGCTACGGCATGACTGACACCGGACTCATAGCGTGACGGACGATGAATTCATTTTCTTCTTTCAGTATGGTTTCATTATGACCTCATCTCGTGATAAATATACAATTATTTTGATGATACCTAATACTGGATCAGCTGGCCCGCGTTTGTAATTTTCCTCCGGCGGAGGGGAGGGGAGGGGAGGGGAGGGAGGGGCTCTCTGGCTTATCATCTCTTTCTTTCTTTCTTTTTACATTTATGAAGCTACTGAAATACGCCTTTTGGCATACAAAAAAAAAAAAAAANTGCCTTTAGTAAGCTTAGTGACTGACTTTTTCGAAAGCAACGTCAATCTGGATGTGACAAATTAATAGGTGTGGTCAGGAGCCCGTGTGGTGTGGAAAGGGGCGTGGAAATCTGATTACTGTTGTAACTTTGTCATACATAGTAATCAGTGTACAGGATCTAGGATGAAGGGGTTCTTAAACTAACCTTCTTCCGCCCTGCAGGTTTCAGCATTTGCGAAAGATTTTCGAGACCTTTCATTTCCGCGGGCAAGTGGTGTTATATATATGTTGAGTTTTATCAGAGCGTCACACGCAATCTGTGGCCTGTCCTTTTACTCTCGCCCGCCCGTCTTTTCGAGGCTTCGAGTTGTCCCCACTGACCGCGCGAGGTGTCCGAGATCCTCGAACAGGTCACGCAAAAGTCACGCCAATTTGAAAATAAACTCAAAATAGAAGTTAGCGTGAATGGACTTGGCGATTTAGGCGATAATTAAGGAATCATGACCTTTTACAATGACTTGACGCCGATTAGAACTGTCCTATGACGAACTGCTGATGTTTCATCGATGACCGGAAAAGGGTTGATATCCCTCAAATGACGTCATCGTTATGCTATCCCAGGGTCCTCTTGTGCTGATCACGTGATCATTTGGCGCGTAAATTCACACGAAGAAGAGGCTTGCTTTGAGACCATGTTTGTTTTCTTTGATTTGTCGAACAGCTGTGAAGGATGAAATTGAATGAAATCTGAAAAGCTTATGTTTTGAGCAAGTGCTTCAACATTAAAGATGCCTCTAGTGGACAATTCCGAGGCAGGAGATCGTTCTTCCTTTCGTTTGCGACGCATTGGAACACCGGCTACCTTCCCTGGCATCTCAGACACATTCAAGTAAGGAGATATTTCTGTAGAGAAGCTTGTGGCATGTTAATCTGCTTAGCTCAGTCAGATCAACAAATTAAAAAAATCAGATTTTGAAGTATTCACTCACTTAACTTAAAAGAAGCTCCTGCTCTGTCGTTTCAGCCAATAGGTAACGTTTGTTGCGTTTTAGCGACATGTACGCTAAATGCTAACCTGTGTCCCCGGGTCTAACCTAATTTTATAAAATGCTTGCTGATTACTTTAAAACATGGGCATACGATGACATTGCTTGTGATTTCTGAGGATCACTCTTCCTACATGTTGTTTTACAAGTTTCGTATAGACGTTGGTTTGGAAAAATGTGGCTGGTCAACATTTTAAAAGTCTAAGGACCAGTTGGTCTCGGGTACCCTTACCCGAGTTTCTCTGGCTGAGTAACGTTTCACTTAATTCTTTACCAAATTTAACCAACCGTTTACATGACGGTCACAAACCGTCTCTGGAGACGAGACAACTCGGGTGAACTTTTCTTCATATAAACACTTTGGCTTGCATTGCCTAACCAGGACAACTCTTGATGTGGCGAGTGCCAGGAAAATTATGTCCAGCTTAAGGGGTTGAAAGCAGAAATTTGGGCAAAACCCACTATGATCGAATGACCAAGGGAAACTCAAAGAAAGAGGGATATTTGCAGATTTGATTATTCAATTAGGGTTATGAATAACTCTGCAGGGTCAACTTGGACTCGACCTGTGGGGAAACCGTTTTCATAATTTAACGATCGACAAAGTTGCCTCAGGGGGAGGGTTGTCTTTGGTACCTGAGACCATATTGCATTTCCTGTAAAGAGGTTCATAATTAAGAGGCCATGATGAATTTCAAAATCTCTCTCTCTGTCCTGAGCAAATATGCTAAGAAGGCAGGGAAATGTGAAACATGGGTGGGATATTACTTGACAAGTAATATTCTGCCCATGTTTCAAGTTGTTGGAATATGCTACAGTAATAGTATTGAAAGTGAAGTATGATCATCGCAGTAAATTTTCCAATTTAAGCAACTGGAAAGAAGAAGCCTGAAAAAAAAAAATCAGGGCTTCAACGGGATTCGA